AATTTGGCATTAGAACATGCCATTAGGGAGGTAATGCGAACCGAGAAAGGGTTGGATCTGGGCGGGACAACATCCGTGCTGGGCTATGCTGATGATCTGGTACTGTTAAGCGAAGAAGTTGAAACTATAAAACTAAATACGACAACGTTAATGAAAGCCGGTAAAGAACTAGGACTCGAAATAAACGTGGATAAAACAAAATATATGGTTAGCTGCAAAAATGGCGATACTACTGGTGATATCGATATAGATGGTAATATGTTTGAACAGGTAGATAAATTTAGGTATCTAGGTTCTACGATAACTAGAAAAAACGAAATTGAAGAAGAGATTAAGGTTAGACTGAAGGCGGGGAATGCTTGTTATTTTTCTGTGACAAAACTACTTAGTTCGCGCCTCTTGTCCCGAAACTTAAAAATTAGAATCTATAAAACAATTATCTTGCCTACAGTTCTTTATGGATGCGAAACTTGGCCGCTTACATTAAGGGATGAGCAGCGTCTTAAGGTTTTTGAAAATAAAGTATTGCGTAGAATATTCGGACCGAAGAAGGATGAGTTAACCGGAGAGTTCAGACGGTTACACAACGCCGAATTACGTGAACTGTATCCGGGTAATATAATTGAGTTAATTTCATCGCGGCGAATCAAATGGGCTTGTAAAGTTGTTGGGCTTAGTAACGAGAGAATTCCTAAAAGGTTAATATGTGCGGTGCCGAATGGTAAGCGTCCGAGGGGTAGACCGAAGCGAACGTGGGAAGATTGCATTAAAGCCGATCTGAAGGGACTGGGTTTGGACGGCGAACGGTGGAGGGAGGTGTGTAACAAGAGATTGGTGGTGTCGGCATCGAACCTTCGGGTTCGCTAAGCCTTATTATTATTATTATTATTAAATAAGAAAGTGTTAGTGAAAGACGATAAAGAACTGGAGCTCGAAATAAATACGGATAAGATAAAATAAATAGCTAGCTGTAAAAACGGCGAGAATTTTGGTGATATCGATACAGACAGGAATATGTTCGAACAAGTAGAGAATTTTATGTATCTAGGGTATATAATAGCTAGGAAAAACAAAACTTTTCTATGATAAAACTACTTACGGCTCTCCATGAATGCGAAACGTGACTGCTTATATAAAGGGATGAGAAACGCCTTAAGGTTTATGAAACAAAGTATTGCTTAGAATATTCGAAGAAGAATGAGTCAACCGGAGAATTTAGATTGTTACACAATGCCGAATTAGGTGAACTGTACCTTTTTAATATAATTACAATGCGGCGAAAGTAATTACAAAGTGGAAGTACAAAACGAAAGTAATTACAAAATGGACAAAATGGACATGGATGGAAAAAATTCCTAAAAGGTTAATATGCGCTGTACTGACTGGTAAATGTTCAAGAGTAGACGCAACAGAGTAAGCGAAACAGCAATTGGTAGTGTCGGCATCGAGTCTTCGGTTCGCTGGGCCTTTTATTATTATTATTATTGTACATACTTTTTGATTATTGTTTAGTCGTTATATAGCTTCATTTTATTTTATATCTTTAGGTATATATAATGTGAATGTAGTGTTATGGTGAACATGGTACCTCATTATAACTACTGTCAAATAGAAAGAATGTTATATTACTTAATAAATAAATAAGTAATTTATTTATTTACTTTTTAAATAACGGATGGTACCGATGAAAAAAATAGTGTATAATTGGAGAACAGTGAATAGTATGGTCAAAACAAATTTATTTATTTTATTTTTACAATTGACTTTTGCGTTCCACCATAGTTATTCTTTAAGGTTTCAAAACGGATACGAGGAAAAATAAAATAACAGGAATGAAAATTAAAAATAATTTGAACAATTAATCTTGCAGAATGACGATCAAAATAATAAACAAATATTGACGAAAATCGAGATAGATATGTTTCAATAGGCCAATGTATGAGGTGTGACAATTAATTTTATTATTATTATTGACTGGGATATAGTTCCTTGAAAATAACAACATCGTACAAAAATAAGAGATTACTTCTACCCTAAGATATAAAACAATAAAATAAAATAAACAATAAAAAAAGTAAAGTGAACATGATGTGCAAAATTAATAGAACTATGAACAAAGCACTTAAAACTATATACAATTGTAAAACAGTATAAATATACACTTCCAAGGAAGAAATAAATTAAATTCTTCCTATCAATAAGCTCTGAGTTTCCACTAAGCAAAAAAGAGCGCTGGCATCTATAAATTGGACATATAAACTGTCCAAATATGTACATGTTAAAAACTATGCAAATTACAAAAACTAAATAACTAAATAATAAACAAATAAAACATGTGAAGAGTGTGATCATTTATTAACGTAACTATAATAATTTAATTGTACATATATAAAAAACATTATTATTACTGTTCCTACTCAATTTTTTTCTTTGATGTGATTTTCTACTGTCATTCTGTCAACTGAATGGCTTAACTAATTGTATGATAAATAGTTACCATTTTTCAGCAAATTATTGAAACATAGCAAATCTTTTTTTATTTTTTAACAATTGTTTCGCAAAATGGATTTGAATTCATAATTTTTTAAAATATATATCTCAGCTAAAATAATAAATAATATATATATATATATATATATATATATATATATATATATTTTTATTTATTTATTTATTTTGGTTAAATATTCAGAAACTCGACCATGTTTTTGTTTTACATTTGAAATTTATTGATTTTTTTATTTAAGGAAAAAACAGCTTTTTTACTTTGTATTTAAAACCAAACAATTCTACACAGAGGTTCTAGTATATAATTTAAAATAAAGTGTATTTTACAGAAAAATCGCAATATATTTGTTTTGTTTTTTCTTCTAAAATCGAAAAAAAAGAATTTGTAAATAAACAAATATTCTACTTATCTTGATTAAAAAAAAGACTCCTATCCCATGAGATTTTTTTTTTCATTGCTCGCTTGCAAAGGTTAATTACTAAAAAAAAATAATAAAAAAATTAATGGTGATAAATTTAAGGGGGATCAATTATTTGCAATAAAATGATTTTAGTTTAAAGTAATCATTTCCATTTCAGGATATATGCGAACTTAACTGAGGAAGATTGCAATATTTCTCAATAAAGAAGTGATAAATAAAAAAAAATTCAGTATAAATATTTTATGATAATAATAAAAGATAAATAAAGAGGTTTAGAAGTTACAATTCACAATCGACGATTGTAATTAGAAATTTGAAGATATAACTTCGTTACGATATTATAAATTGACATGGTGAAATAGAGATTGTATATAGACAAACTCTAGGTACTCCAGGCAGAGGCCCGTCATTTTCCAGCTGACGTGGTGTTGCAAGAGACTGGAAAATTGCCTAAGCAACAGGTGGGGCAACCAACTGTACACAATAGAAAGCATTGACGAGGTTCAGTCATCTGGTTGGAGTGGATATAAAAAACTATCTTGTTTAACTTATATTTTTTCACGACTCCAAAATTATATATGAAGTTTATTTGGTGTTAATATTACAGGTGGAAATCAAAGATACAATTAATATTGAACATAATATGATCAGTAATTTATTTTTTTTATGTTAACATTTGGCTTTTTATGTTAACATATCAGAAAAAAATACTGGATGAATTTCTCGGGCACTGAATGAAACAACAAAGATATTTGTTTTTATTTTGAATAATGTAGCATTAAAATCTACATGAAGTATACAATTTTAATCGCTTTCTAAGTTAGTGGTTTCATTCTCAAGGTAAAATTCGAAGTTCAAACAAAAACATCCATTCGTCCCCGACACTCTGCTTTTCTTCGAAACTTTTTACGGTTATTTTTATGATTTGGTACTAAAATTAATCACAGGTCATCTTTGGAACTCAACATAACCACCTGCTTGAGATGGGCAAATGCTATTCTGAGTACCGAGTACCAATAATTTTAATCAAATTGAATCTATATTAGGATTTCAATCACCAATTAATAGTTTGACATCAAATGAAGTAGTAATTAAATTCTTTGGTAAATTTGAGTACTTGGTACTCATTACTCAGATCAGCATTTGGCCATCTCTACCACCCGTCATTTCAAACCTTATTTTATTTATTTTATATAATTTTTGATTATTATTCAGTTTTTATTTTACTTCTTTTTATTATATATTTTTTGTACATATAGTGTGAACGTAATCTTATATCACTATAACCATTGTTCAAGTTGCAGAATGTTGTAATATTCCTCAAGTAAATAAAAGAAATTAATTGGTTAAATAATTCGTTTTTAATTTTTAGTTTATCAAAATCTGGGAATGGCCAAATGCTTCAGCTTTTCACTAGTCAAGGCCGTCGATGTGATGAAGGTCGATAAAAGATATTATTTCGCAGTAAATGGTGCAAGAATCAAGCAGATTGGATCTTGGATTGCTGGAAATACCTAAGAGCGAAATATACGTTGAACGAATGAAGAATGCCGTAGCGGTTATCGATGAATTATCATTACTGCTGCACAAAATAAACACAGCACCCCTAAAATCTCAACAAAAACTAATTACTTTAAGAACGTATCTCATCACACTGAGTCCTAGCAAAATGAATTAGTTGAGAAAGTTGGATATCTCAACGGGAGCGGCAATACGTTCTTGGCTACGAATGCCTCAAGATACCCCTACTCAATATTTCCACTCTGCTTGTACTGATGGTGGTTTGGGCGTAATGAGCTTTAGCAGTGCTATACCCTCACTGAAGCTCGCTAGGTTACGACGTATGGAGTACTCTGGTTGCCCGGTAGCAAGAGCCGCCTAACACTCCTCCTTTATTACTAAGGAAATGATAAAACTCGCAAGCAACCTCACGAAAATGGGCCTCAACTCGGAAAACACTTCGAGTGAAGAACAGAAGAAATCCCTGTCCATGAAATTGTATCGTAGCGTTTATGGTAAGGCATTGAGGGAGTCAAAAAACTGTCACCCATCAACTCATTGGTTGACAGACTACGCGGCTCCGGTAGCCGGACGGACCTTCATACAAACGGTAAGAACCCACATAAATGCTCTTGCAACCCGAGTGAGATTATCCAGAGGACGTAGGGCCTTTATGCCGACCCAATGTAGAGCTGGGTATCCTGCAAGCGAAACTGCCAGCCATATTACATAACACTGCATTTTGTCTAACGGTGGCAGAGTGCGGCAGCATGATACAGTGGTGAACATGTTGGAAATTGCTCTCCATAAGAAAGGATACAGGGTCACAAAGGAACAAATGTTCATTGATAATAGACGAAGGTGGAAGCCAGACCTGGTGTGCTCAAGACCAAGCGTAAGCTTCATTATAGACGCACAGATCGTCGGAGATAACCCTAGCACCACTCACTGGAACAATGTCAAAGCCAATAAATATAGGGACCTAAATAGCAGGATGGCGATCGGGCGTACACTGGGAGTGCCAGGCGTGGACATAAAAGAACTCCTGCTCACAATAACTTGGAGAGGAATGTGATGCCGACGGTCTATCCAAGACATGGATATGTTGGGCGTAAGAGAGAACGAGAGAACGATGAACGCCATTACAATGAGAGTCCTTAAAGAGGTTCCCACATGAGCTACAGTAATTGGTTCAGGCTGCTTCCTCGATTATAGCTTGATAATCAATGATTTTATTGTTCTCATAATTTACATTTATACGTATTTTATTTTTGTATTTATCTATTTGTTTATTTTATATTATTTTTATTTATTTACTTTTATTTATTTTTTTGTTATTTCTGTTTATTTTTATTTTACTTATGTATTATAGTATTATTTACTTGTTACTTATATTGTGGATGAGTTACTATTTCCGTAGTTTTTAAAATTACTTTATATGTATATTTTTTTATTTATTTATTGAATAATAAATAATACAATCAGCCACTGTTAGAGGGCTATAAGTATTAAGGCTAGAAGACTTTATATATAGTGTTTGTTTTATGTATGTAAATGAATATATATTTTTTCTTTTATATTTATATCGGCTGTATGTAATTTTGTATGTAAATGCAATGCTTAGTATATATAATTTAATGATAGTATGTTTTTTTTTTATATGATTCTTGGATTCCAAGATAGGTTGGATATCCAAGATAAAACGATACGATGGTGAAGGTAGCACCAAATTAAATTAGAAATTGAGAAAGCTGTAAGTAGTTTGTTGTGTTGTGAACTGCATGAAATATGTATGAACTAGCAAATAAATAAATAAATATAAAAAAATATTTTCCTTACTGTTTAAAGTCAGAAAGCAACTAATAATTCTTTAATTATGACTATTTATTTAATGTGTGAATATTTTTAAGTATCTCTGAGTGTCCATAGTCTGCATTTATGTCTTCCTGTATTACTCTAACGGGGCTCCTCCCAGAATATATAAATAAATTATTATTATCTTTATTATTCTAAGTATCCAAAAGAACTGTTTGCTGAGTTCTCTCTTAATACACCAAGGGGTAATTCCAAGCTATCTGTACCTGCCACCGTTGACATTGGGATCAGACCTTTAGTTGATACTATTATTGGTGTAACCAAAACGCTTTCCAAAAGGTACAACACCTTTATTTCAATCGCCAATTCTCGCCCACGGTTGTGCTCATATTATTGTCATTCAGAATCGTGCCATATTATTATTATTATTTTAAAATAATAATTAAAGTATTTTTTGCCCAGGTCTCTAAAGTGTGGAGGTCTAGGTAGGTATGATTATAGATAAAACATATCATACCTATAAATCAATTTCATGCAAAGTTATTTCTCAAACTATTCCAAAATTATATCTGAAAAAAATATATATAATGTAAAAAAAAAAAAAATGAATTAACCTGAGTGTGCTATATCATACGCTATGAAGGTCCATTATGTATCTAGTACACAGCTCGCTAAGCCATCTTAAGCTCAGAGCCAATGAAAAAAGACAAATAAAAACAAGGTAACGATAGGCTAATTAATAACCCAATAGTGTTGCCGAATGAATGGTCGCTTGCACACCTGTTGCTAATTGGCGGTGACAGTCCCTAGCAGCTGCGGTCTCTCTATCGACCCTTATTTTTTATCTACCTTTATATATATATATATATATATATATTATATATATATATATATATATATATATATATATATATATATATATATGCTGTTATGTATGTTTATAATAGCCAATCAAAGGGACTGAGTGCGTTTTATTAATTTTTTTTTTTTTAATTTGTCGATTTAGCCTCTACCCCTAAGGGTCATTGGCTTAATGTTTCAATTTTATATTCGTTGATAAAAGTGAATATTCTTTAAATATTTGAACAGTTTTTCTATTTCATTCTCTCCATCTTGCAGAATTTCTTTCATTTCCGTTCCCATTTGAAATTTTTTCCTTATATTAGTGTACCTTCTACATTCTACTAATATATGTTTTACAGTTCTGGGTACTAGGCAATGTGTGCAAGTTGGAGCTTCTAATCCTCGCAGGAGGTATCCATGGGAAAACTCACAGTGCCCAATTCTTAGGCGACATAGTATATCTTCTTCTCGTCTAGACTTTCTGTTTGATGTGTTCCATTTGATACATTTTGTTTTTATTTCTTGAAGTTTTGCCGAACTCATTTCCCATTCAACGTTCCATTTATTTTGAAAGGAGCAGGCAAGTTGGTGTGTCCAACCTTCTCAAGGTTGTGGTTCGTGCAGTTCCTTGATGCCGGGCAGAGTTGGCTGCAGCATCGGCTCTCTCGTTACCCAGGGTACCACAATGTGATGGTGCCCAGATAAGGACTATGTTTTTATTTTGTTCCTTTAGTTCACCATATATGTTAAAAATTTCTGTTATAACAGGATGCTGGTTCGTTGATTGTTCTGTGGCTTCTATCACGGACATTGAATCGGTTACGATAGTATGGTTTTTGAAGTGGTTGCTGCGGATGTGCAAGAGTGCTTCTTTTATGGCCGTGGCTTCTCCCGTAAAAATAGAACATTCTCCTGAAAGTTTGTACAGGAATTCTTCACTGTCTGTAACGACTGAACATCCCACTTGGTTTTCGGCTTTTGATGCATCTGTGTAAAATATTTTGTAATTGTAATATTTGTTTAACAATTCTAAAAAATACGATTTTTTTTCATCCGAAACTAGAGTTTTTTTTTAGATGTGGGACATATATTTTTCTGTAGAAATATTTGGAGGACTCCACCTTGGAAAGTTTTTATCTGGGAGCTTTTGGATGCAATTTAGGTTCATATTGAATGCTAACGTTGTTTCAATTATATTTCGCTTGAAACTGCTATTGATTGAAACTGTATGTGGATCAAATATGTAGTCTCGTAAGGGATGTCGTGGAAGTGACATTATTTTGGCCCCATATTTTGCAATCATAAATGCTCTTCTTATCTCGAGGGATGGTTCGGCGCATTCTGCATATAGACTCTCAATCGGCGATGTTCTATAAGCTCTTGAGCAATATTCTATAAGCTCCTCAATGCAGCATTATGGATCGGGTCAAGAATTTTTAAAATACTTCTTTTTGAGGTTCCATATACACATGCTCCATAATCTATTTTGCTTCGGATCATCGCTTTGTATACCTTTAATAGACTGCTTCTGTCAGCTCCCCAACTAGAATGCGAAAGACACTTTAGGAGGCCAAGTCTTTTTAAACATTCTTGTTTAAGACCTTTAAAGTGGTCAGTCCACTTTAAGCTTTTATCTAGATGGATTCCTAGGTATTTTTGGTGATCTTCAAACAATATGTCGGCCATCCCTAATTTTAGTTTAGGATTCGTAGAGAATCCTCTTATTCTACATATATGCATAGCCTTTGTTTTATTTATCGAAAAATTAAAACCGCTATTTCGTGCCCATTTTTCGGATTTTCTCAGTGCTTTCTGTAATTTCCACTCAATAAAATAGAGAAATTGGTTATGAACTAATAGTAATACATCATCGGCAAACATTATGATTTTAATAGGCCATTTGAAATTCGGTGGTAGATCATTCATAGCAATCAAAAACAAAGTTACACTTAGAGGTGAACCTTGGGGCGTGCCATTTTGAGAAACGTGAATTGACGACAAGGAGGACCCAACTCTGACTTGATATTTTCTTTCTTTAAGAAAGTTTTCAATGTATGCCTTCAATTTTCCCTGAACACCATAATTATTTAAGATTAGCATTACGCGGCCTCTTAACATGGTATCATAAGCCTTTTCCAAGTCCAAAAAGACAGCAACCAAATGTTCTTTTTGTGAGAATGCTTCTTCTGCTTCATGTTGCAGTAACAAAAGTGCATCAGTTGTGGAATGTCCTTCTCTGAAACCAAATTGATGGTTGGTAAAAAGTTTGTTTCGTTTTATTAGTAGGCTGAAATAAATATAAATATTAATCATTGTCGAATTTTTTGGTTAAAATGTTAACCAATTAATTTTAAAACTAGTAAACCCAGTGATAAGTCTCATATTAGAAAGCTTCCTTTCGCCCTAATGCACGTATGAGCGACATCAGCCAAACATGTTTATTTGTATAAACAATATAATATTAACAAGCAGTGCCGCCCTTAGACATTCGTCGCCGCCCCTCTCCCCTCTCACCGGACAATGACGTAATTTCCCCTCCTCCTTTATTTCTAAAGCTGTAGAATATTATGTAATATTTTATTGCTTTCAACATTTCTGTAATATTAGGTTTATTGGTGAGATAAAATTAATCATTTTTATACGTTTTGTAACTTTTGTTTCCTCACTACCGAATGCAGGGAAGCATTGCATTCGTGCGAGAGGTTAAAAAACATTTTGTGCTTAGAATCAAAAATTTCCACTCGTGTTTTACGTTCCAGGCATCAAGAATCAAATTTGGTTCGGTTTCTGTCTGTCTGTCTTATAAACCATAAATTTAACAGAGAGGTAAATTGCATATTAATGTATTACATGTTTGATGTTTTATAATGATAGAGTCCATCTTTAAGGCCAGGTTCGTAACATAATAGAACTCCGTTTATCTTGAATAATGAAGCTGGGATATTATATATAAGTGATAATTAATAGATATCTGTGAATTTCGAAATGAGAGTTAGTATCCGGAGAAGTGGAAAAAATGGAAGGATACCATAGATGAGAAGAACAGACAGTAGGTATCCAATCCAAAATGCTCTGCATTGAGATAGAACTTCCCTATCCACCGATTACGTTTAAAAGCGAAATGGATTCTCCCAGATCACTGTGTTTTGCAGTTCTTCACAGACCATATGGACTTAGCGGCTAAGCTAGTTTGCAGGGAATACCGACATGCGTGCATAATCAGTGTAATATGTATATGATGTTAAAAC